ATTATTTTAAAAATATACTTGAAAATTTAAATTCATTTTTCTATACACTATACAATTTTAATGGCCATTTTTTTTCTAGTCTGTCATATTTTATAAAAAAATGATTAAACTCACTGGTGATCTCTAGATGTACACTATTCTGTATGGTAGCAACTTCCCACGTATGGGTAGCACATTTAGGTTATTGAGCACTTGAAGTGAGGCTAATTTAGATGAAAATGTGCTTTAAATATAAAATAAACACCAAATCGCAAAGTTTTACTATGAAAACTGTAAAATATCTCATTCTACTTCTTTCATACTGATTACAGGTTGCAATGATATTTTGGATATATCGTGTTAAAATAAATTACTCAAATTAATTTCACTTGTTTATTAAGGTTTTTTTGTTTGTTTTAAATGTGGCTACTAGAAAACTATACATTGACTTGCATTTGTGGCCCACGTTATGTTTTTGTTAAGCGGTGACTTTGTTGAACTACATCCTTTCAGATTTGCCAACAAGGCACACAAGTTCAGGTCTACAATGGGGGAAAGAGATCAGAGAGGGAGAAACATCATCTCCTGACTTATGGTTGCAAGATTCACCCACTCCTCAGAGTGGCCTGGAATTTATGAGAATTTTGAGGGATTAGAAGAAAAAGCTGGAGAAGTACTCTGAACATGAGCAGCCTAAATAAAAGAGTGGAGGAGCCCAGGGGTATAAGAAATACTTTATGGTACATAAAGGTTTGTGGCTTAGAAAACTAAATCTTTTTATAACTCAGCTTCTTTGTGGTTCATTCAGCTGCAGCTTGTGTGTGTTTTGGTTGTGTCCTTTGAGAACACTTAGTTGGGACTGATGTTTTGTGAGCAACTACTATGTGCTATATTTTCTCTGTGTTATCTCACATAAATCCCACAACAGCATTAATATTAGGCAGTTGTTCGATGAGGAAGCTAAGTCAGAAAGATTGTTAGTTGCCGGAGGCCACAAACCTGAAGTAGTGGATAATCAGGAACCCAGACCCCAAGTCCAAAGTCATGGTGTAGTATCACGTATTGCCTCAGTGGCTGCTTGACTACAGAAATTAGTCCTTCCTGATACTTGCTCTGACCAAATAAAATGAATGACCCTAGAAAATTGCATCATGTAGATATTTTAACTCCTTAAAAATTAGAAGAAAATACTACTATTTTGGGAAATAGAGACAGAAAAATATAATAGTAAAATGAGTGGGAATAAGATAGAATTTTGTGCCACATCTTTGCACAAAATTGGCATGTATTACAAACTCTACCTCAGGTTTTATCTGTAAATCAAGGATAAAAATAATATGTATTTCCCAGGATTGTGGTGGGGATCAACCAACGCAGGTACAGCACAGACAGTACCTGATGTATCGTAAGTGTCAATAAGGTGTCAACTGGTGTGAACTGTAATTTTTACTATGCTTGCATAGGAATCAACGTTTATGAACATTATGAATTAAAGCCCAATGTGCTTTTTCAAAAACTCATTTTAATTTTAACCTTCTAAATATACACCTAGAGGAGGTTTTATAAGAGCATTTTCATATTATAGTAGGTTTTTTAGACTTCATTTTAGTCTTTCTATACTATGTTTAAAGTTAATAAGGAAAATGAAATAAATCATTGTATATAAACTGAAATATACTGCGGTTGATGCTCTTCCTTTGGACTGCTAAATTCAACTTTAAATTTTTTCCTGAAGAAAATTTCACCTAATTTGTAATACCTTTTAGCTTGTTATATCATGAAGTATACTATAAAATACTTTTCAGGGTCTCTAAATTTAAAAAGTTTAAGTAATTTTGAGACTAAACTGCTACTTGCTAAATTAAAAAAAAAATAAATCTATCAGGTTTATCAGCTAGTATATAGACCTACAGGTCTTGAAAGTTAAACCTTTTTGTGTTCTTTTTCAATAGGATTGGTTAGCTTTAATTTAGAAAATTATAGTAAATCAAAGCAGACAACACAGTGTCCTTTTTTTTTTTTTTTTTGGAAATTCTGTAGGACTAAATTTCTATCCTGCTTAAAATCTAAGTGCAGTAATTCTATAAAAACGAAATAACAAAGCTCTCCTCGGTTCATATTTTAAATAAAAATAAAATCTGTAATGGCCCTTGGATTTAGTTTTAGGTACTGTTATTGAAAACCTGAAATTTGTAATAGCAGGTAGAGGGTGAGTAG